CCAGGGTCCCTAATGGATTCGACCGTCCCGGATTGAGTTGGTCAGCCAAGCCCTGGTATTTTCTGTCGTCCCATACTGCGTCCGGGTAAGGGAAAAGGTTTTTGGTAAAGGCATCCTTACTTCTTAAAGGAGGAGAACGTTGGTCCTGCCAGCGAGAAAACTATGATCTTTTTCAACGTGCTATGATGGTTTTGCATGATTTTGGATGACGCTGGCAAACTTTCTGGATGTTTTTGTTTGAATTTTTGGCGCACTTTTGGGTATAAAATAAATAAATAAAAAGTACAATAATAATAATACATAAATAAATCGAAAGCATGCACTGAGCCTCATGAATCAATTACAGTATTGCAGCTATATAACACCATATATGATTCTCAAATCATGTTGAATAATCTGAGTTTGTCAAGGTGATTTTAGAATTCATGGTAGGAAGGCAAGTTTCAACAATTTCACTCTTTTTATTAGCGAAATTTGCCTTGGCTAACAGGAAGTCTAGAGGAATGACTCGCAAATTGAAAAGCAGGCAATGTCCTGCTGTTTTTACTGACGTCAAATACTTCGGACACACTGACCACTATTGTATAAATTTGGCTTTAAAAGTTGTCGGTTTGGTGGAACGGTGGAACGCACATTCATTCCGCAAATAGCGCAGCTACCTTCCTATGCAGTGGCAGTGAAATAAGTGTAGACCCACGCAGGCACCCTTTGATCAGCCAAACTTCAGAGTACATGCGATTGTGCCAAATAAAAATTTATCAGCTGTTAATGAAAAACTAAATTTAAAATTTTAAATCTGTTTGAATACACGCCGTTGCACTTGCTCGATACGCTTGTGTCTGCAAATGTTACGACTAAAAATACAGTGATAGCTATAAAAGAGGAAGAATGTTTGAGAGCATGCTTGCTACATTTATCTCACTGTTTCTTAACTCTTCTACGGGCACGACTCATCTTCTTACGTGCTCGGTATCAGCCAACAAACAAATCTATTCCCTGATCTTAGCTACTTCCTAGCCAAAATTTGCATTAACTTTACAAAATGCCTTTACTCATTTGCATTTTGCATTCTTAAACTTTAAGCCTTTGAATGGCTTTACAAATTTCTGATGTTTTTCTGTTTGATGTATAAGGCTTATCAATTGCAGAGTCGGGTGCACCAGCATCTCCGCTCCCGCGCTGCCTCGATGTTCCTTGTAAAAGGTCGGTATGCGGAAAGGCACATATTTTTCAAAAAATCTACTTTTGCATTATGTTAGCTTTGTATAAAAGTTGTACTCGCATTTTGAAAAATGTGTTTTTGATTTTTGACTTTCATAATAATTTCCAAAACACAAAAAACTGGTAATTTTTGAATGTGCGCACCCTGATTGCCCTAAAAGCGAATGCGCCAACGGAATGCACGTACTATGGAGCGCTTTAAGCTTATAGTAGAAACGACCGCTTTGTGGACCACGAGCAGCGAAGCTTCCTGGTCTGCTCTCGTTGAGAGCAAAATGGTACGGTTTGTACCCTCAAACTAAGATAGGTCATCTTAAAAACTGCACCTGCGCTCAAACCTTGTACACAAGGTAAGAGCCTTGTTGTAAATGAGGAAGCGCGAGAGATGCGAATAACATAACGATAGAAAGATTCTTACCAAAAGACAAACTAAAAGCCATTCAGGGTAAAGCTTTTTGCAGATGCTCTGCGTCATAAGGTTGGAAGAGTCTATAAATAATGAAATTGTAGGAATAGAAATGCCAAGAAAGACAGTCCGAACAAAGTAGACATTAGTAGCGCTAGAGTCAGCGGTTGGGCAGACCGCTGAACTGATTTTTTTTTTGAGTGGTAATCCTACTGATCTTGAAAATCCTCCTTAAAGAGCGGGAAAATGGCGAAAACCAGCATCTTAAAAAGCTCGTCATTTTTTGAATAAGTGGATGGCAGCTAATTTCATCAAAGAGTATCGCTGTGTAGGTTTCTATTGTTGAAAAAAAAAGAAACAAAGGAATTAGTAGCTATTCTAGAAATTTGAACATTCGAAGCTACGGCGAATCAAAAATCTTCAAGCATTTTCTCAGTCTCGAGTAGCCAAGTACTCGACTGTGCATGAATGGTGGAACATTCTGAGAACATGAAAGCAAAAGGGATCGCCGCATAGCGCAGGCCAAAGCTAAGCTTCTTGTACCCCGATAATCACTATCCGGTGCGAACTGGGACCGTCTTATGGCTATGACCATGTCGCATTGGCCTGCGTCGATTACGATCCCCCCTCCTCCTGTATCGACTCTTCCTCTCAGCATTACCGTTTGTCTACAGCAAGCACAACATTAAGGCTCTATCAAGCATATTTTGTAAGAAGTTCATAATTAGCATGTCAGATAAGTTTTGGACCAAGTTTTAGCGAATTACAAGGGGTCTTAATATTGGACCACCAAATAAAATGATCATTTTCAAACAATATTAACTATATTCAAGGCAAACTAACTATCTAATAATCAATAAAAAGCACTACTCTTTTTGCCTACATGAAAAATCCCACTCCGAATAACGCCTAAGCTGGAAAAATAGGGAACAGCCGAGATCTAACTTTTCTATATTTCGCCAGTGGTTCTCATTTCAGCAACTAACAGATCAAAGAACATGATCAGGCTGAAATTAGTCTTGTAAGACAACGATTTATCAAATGTTATATATTATACGCTAAATTTCTTCTTGGAGGTAAGTTAATGGGATATGGCACAACCCCAGAAAAGCGGTGGCTGCCATAACTTGCAGAAATTGTGTCACGCCCCACTAACTTACCTTTTAAGTATCGAAGTATTTTCCAAGTATTTCTGCTTTTTGTATCTGCCACTGCTAAATCTTCTATATTACACAGTGAGATTCCACTTAAAATCGTTTCTTCTAGGGAAAGATATAGTTAAATGTTTTTCATACTCTAGCAATGCAACATACTATCACGGAAGCATGCCAAGTCTGTACTACTATGGCACTTGGATCGGAAGGGAAAGCAGCGAAAATATCTGTATTTGACAGATCAAACTTACGAGAATGATGCTCCTATGCTTTGAAGGCTTCTATATTACGCTTATTGTAAATATGCGAAGAGATCTTCAATGTAATTGTAATCTGCGTAAAAGGCTTGTCTGACTTTTTCAATTAATATCACTATATGTTAGCGCTGACATCAGCAACAAAGACCTCTCCCCCCCCCTCCCCCCCCCCCCTCCCCTTCCAACCTGACCCTCACTACGCTCCCCCCCCACGTGTGGCATGCCACAATGCACGCTTGACCGTGGTTATACCATTGCGTCGTGCCATTTTCGACAATGGGGAAAACGCGGGGAGGGGGAAATCGCGAGCTTAGGGAGCTTCCAAGCCGCGCCAAATGCCTATTGCAGCGGAAACGCATCCGGCTATGCCATTAGCATTGAAAAACTCACTGATCGATCTATTGCTCCTGGTTTTTCTAACTTGCTCTTAATTCTTCAAGAATGGTTTTAGAGTATTATGACTGTTTGAGGGATCATTGCGCTAAAATTTGCACGTCGCCGTTGAGGCGAAAGCGTGGAGTATGGACTAGAACTAACGCTGAAGTTTTCGAATATTGCACTTTTTTCCATTTAATCGCGCTCAGATTCTTTGTTCAGCTTTGTGCTCATTTGTTCTTGCGAGTGATCCGCATTGTAATGCTAGATGCGATATTCACATGTCTTTGCCAAAGTTCGGGATGATGCATGACTGAAAGCATATGTAAACCGCATCATCGACAATGAATATCTTGGGCATAATATAAATACACTCAACCTATTTGCATCTTTGCTCTTTCGTTTTGCATCTTCTGTTTACGCTCAAATTTTGTACTCCTCGTATTTGATGCGGTTTTTATTTCATGATTACGACCATGCAGCGTCATGGACTTAGAAACACTCTATACTTTCGTATCTGTTTGCGGTGCATCATAAGAAGCATATTAGAACGTGACTAAATGTTCAAAAGAGAATGCGATCATGCTACTTCGAGCATGAGCTGGATGCGGATCCTCGGCGCATCTGGCCTCTGGTGCGATGTTTGAAGTCCTTATGCATCATTTTTCAAATAAACGACCTCAAAACCACCATCTAACAGGAAGAGAAAGCCCTATATATTTGCTGGAAAATTTGTTCATCGAATTTCCGCGCCGCATGCGCGTCGAGACTAAGAGCATGACCGGCGGGATCCACAGCGCTTCCGCTGCAATAGCGGCAACTAGTGCAAAAGCAGCTATCTGCTGCAAAAGCTGAAACCGGCGCGTCTGAGAGCTCTCTTATTCGGGGGGAAGGGGGGGGGTGTAAGAATGGCTTGCGTGTACGGAGATGGAATATACAGTTCCTTGGCGGGAGCAGCATACCGTTGCTCGGTCTTGCTCTGCTTCATCTATTTAGGGTGTGCGCAAAATTTTGCCGAGCCACTGCGTTCAAGACAAACAAAAGCAGACCAAATCTTGCCCACAAATTCCGTAAACTCTGAAACGCTACTCGCAAACGGCTTTCTAATGCTCAGTGAAGTTCAAAGCACTAGCGCCGTCGTTTTGTCATCATATTGTTCCTGAAGATCAGTAGTTTATCTCTGTTTTTGTAGAAGACATCTCTATCTCTATGCAAGGGAAATTCTTTTGCTTTACTTTGTTGAAGAATAGCTCCCTGCGGAGCTTCAAAGACGCAAAATCTCAGATCTTCGAACGATACCTTGCCGCAAGCCATCTCTGTCAGGTAAACAGTGACACGATGGAAAAGGCACGAATTTCTCAAACTACCTAAATTATGCTAGTTGTTTTGATATCGATTTGCCAGACTGTATGTTTGTTTGCACCTTGCTCCATTGCAAAATTTCCCACTCATAATTAGTGACATTAAATGTTCTGAATCAAGCAATTCTAAAGTCTGAGCTACTAAGCATTTTGTAACGCTTTCAGTTTTCGCAAAAAAATGTTTCCTAAGAATAAATATTGTTATTGCAGATTCAATAAAACAATAATGATCGCATTGGGACTGTTCTTCATTCTACTTCTAACAGATATCTGTGATGCTGCGAAGCGTCGCAGAGGGGTGCGTATAGTTTTTTTTCAAAATGCTAATCATAATTTTCTTGAGAGACTTTTAGTGCGGTTGCAAGCATGTGTTGGGACACACAATTCAACACAGAATTTGTAAAGAGAAGTGTCGACTGAGAAGACATTACTTGTTCGATTGGACTAAAAATCCTCCGATAAACCCGACCAAAGATCCTAAGGTTTTTACCTTGTTGTCGTCGGCTGAACAGATGTTATTTTGATTTTTTACAGTGTGAGAAATGTGAAAATCTGCCGGGAGAACGGCGGCGTATTTGCGAGGTTAATTTTTGTGGATCGAGAAACTAACTCCTTATGGATATTTAGATGATAAAATGCAGAAATTTGGATATAAGGACATGCGAGTGCTGATGTACCCGCCTACCTCTACTTACAAAAATTTGTTCGCTTTTCATAGCAATAAAGTCGTTAGATCCGTTTCTGTTGCACGACATTTCAAAAGTGAGCTTACTGCTTCCATAACAGAATATAAAGAGATTATGTACCTTTATAACGTGATTGCTTCACTTCAAAATATTCACAATATGACGGCTGTAAAGATCGCTGGCATATATCTAAGCGCATACGTCGCACACCAATTGCAATTCATGATCTTAACCCCCTACCGTACAACCCACCGTAGCCCCAGAATGACGTTACCGCATGGAATATATATGATACTCGGCATCAGCGTGTCCAATAACCCCCCTAGACCAAGTCTCAGTCAAATCTACGGTATTGACCCCACACCGTATACCTATCATAACCCCACAAAAATGATCCTTTCATGCAAAGTGAGCGTCATTTTCGTGATCAGCATGTCGAATAACCCCTGTACGCAAAGTTTTAGCGAAATCCGAGAATTTGAATTTTTGGGTTGCGTATTCTGGAATCATAGGTGTGATAGGGGGAGCCGGGCTCTCCCCAGGTAAAGGGGGTCTCGGCTGTTCCCGACCTTCCAGGGTGAAGGGGGTATGTGAGTCTAGGGGGGGGGAGGAAGAGAGAAAAGGTAAAAAAGTGTGTTATGAAAAGCTCTAATTTGTACCTTATTTAAGCACAAATTGAAAAAATCAAAAAATTTTGAAAGAAATTAAAATTTAAAAAAAATTGACTTTATGAAAATCTGTGCTCCTGTTTTATTGCATCAACAAAAAGCGAAAGCAATAAGGTTTATCCCAAAAGATGTACAAGTTAGGAACAAATTCAATTCCTCACATCATCATAAACAATATCATTATCGCTAACGTCAGAGACAACAAGTTCGCTGCCTGAAAAATCTTCTTCCTCCAAAAGGTCATCGGAGTAGAAGTAGAATTGCGTGCAAAAGCGTTCTGAGTCGAAAATGGATTTGAAACTTTCTTCTTCTTCTAAGCGCTTTTGTGATTTTTTTCCTGGCCCTCTGGTAGCACCAGGAAAGTCAGCAAGTAGGTGACCAGTTTCTTCATACCATCTTTTAGGATATTTCAAGAAGTCATACGGTAACAGCCTGTCTGGACCACTCATATCAATCCTTTAAATGAAGTTTTTAGATAACAATATGTTTAGTAGAAGGTTGACAACCCTTAAGTAATTGCTTAGATGCTCCATTGTTGTACGACTTCTGCGTTGTGTTCTGATAAGTAGATAATTTCTTTCTACACCTCTGCCGTGCTAGTCGGAATGGAAACTAGCTTTGCCAGTAAGTCCATCAGATTTTTGCGGTAAGTAATGGGAAAAGAGTCAGATCGCATATGCTTTCCGGGAAGGAAATATTGCATACTTTTTTGGGCCTTGTTGAACTATGGCTTCACCTCATACGTCATGTTAGCTGATGAGAAAGCTGCTCAACTTCTTCTTTAAGGCCTAAGGCATACCTCGCGCGATCCTTGTCGCGGCGCGATTTGGCAACGCTCCAATTGTTCATAACTTATCGTAAGGGGTTTCTGAATCTACGGAAGATAGTGCATTTTATCAAACTTTAAAAGTTATACATGCCATGCATTTGGGGTCTGCCAGTATTGAATATGAAGAGATCTGACAAATTGCCAGATCGCGCTGCAACTGAAATCGCCTGAGGTATGCCTTAGGCCTAACAGCATCTGCGGAATAGCCGAAAAAACTAGATACGCGTTGTTTTTTTTAATATCATAGGTCATAATGTCACAAGGCGAATAACTTCCAAAAGCATAAAGCACAGAGTTGGGTTCGCACTCCAGTCGGGATCTAAGAGCAGTAGCTATGCTTTGTACTAACACCTTCTTTTGTTCATATCCATGTTTGTGAATTTAGCAGCCTTAATCTTCAGCAACCAAGATCAGCAATGGTTCCTGGACATTTCCTCATTGAAACTAGGCAATCTGCTTGGATTCCTTATGTAGGAAATCAGAGAGTTTCGCTCAAATGTCAACTCTGTATCAATGTCGACAACATTTTCGTCGGCGTAAAATTCTCCTTCTGCCTCGCTGTGGAACTGGAACACATGCGAGCCATCTGCGATTTTGTAAAGTATTCTGCCTGCCGTTTCCTCTTCAAACTGCCAAGCTTTCCAAAACATTTATTTTAATAACATGTTATTCTTCTGAACGACTCAAAGTTTTTGATTCATTGAAACCAACCATTCTCTACAAATTAGGTTGAGGTGAGTCTAGAGCGTTTTCACGAAGTAACCTTTTTCAGCACTAGGTTTACAGAGCATAGATTCCAGAAATGGGTGGGTTTTTGTGTGAAGGTGTGGAAATTCACCAATCTCCCATAGTTTTTTGAGTGTGTGCTAATAATGATGGCATAACTGTCAATCAAAAGCGCATTTTTTTACCAAAAAAACATCAACATATAACAACGATAAGCACGCTTAACTAGACGCGTTCGCTCACGTTCCCGTTAGTGCTGATAAACGATGTCAATCCACAGCACGTTTTTTACTATTAACTTGCTCCACCTCGCTCTTATTAGGTCGTCCCGAAAGTTTTTGCGCACAATTTTCAAAAATTCGTAATTTCTGATTTTCCAACCGATTTGACTGCTTTCGCTTTTATGTGAAAGGGTAAGTCATGCTCTTTATAATGTCATCTCAGCTTCTTAGTAATGGTGAGCGATAGAAGAAAATTGGTCAAAATTTGAATTTTCTGTGTAGGGCCATGAAAAATCGGAGACTTGCAACAAAAATCGGAGCAGTCAGTATGTAGGTATTGTAGGTTCTTTCACCAGCTCTTTCTAACACTGCAAAGTTTGCGCTGATTGAGGGTCTCTATGAAAAGTTATGATTTCCCTGAAGAATGCTAAATAAACCAAATTCGCCCTTTCGTATTGCTTGCTCGAAAATCATAACTTTTCTTAGAGATTTTCAATCAGCGCAAACTTTGCACTGTTAGAAAGAGCTGGTGAAAGAACCTACAATACTGACTGCTCCGATTTTTGTTGCAAATCTCCGATTTTTCATGGCCCTACACAGAAAATTCAAATTTTGACCAATTTTCTTCTATCGCTCCTATCTATGCAACATATGACCACTACTAAGCAGCTGAGATGTCATTATAAAGAGCATGACTTACCCTTTCACATAAAAGTGAAAGCAGTCAAATCGGTTGGAAAAATCAGTTATGAATTGAAAATCGTGCGCAAAAACATTCGGGACGACCTATACAATGTGTTGGCTTTTATGGGTCACCGGAGGAAATGTTTTTTGAAGCCGGGAAGCAAAAAAGCCTTAACATGCTTTACACCATTCGAAAGCTGAGATCATGGAGAATCGACCTAGACCGTCGACTTGTTTCTAGGTCTTCTTTCCGCGAGATATGAGGGACTTTATGTGCTTCAAAATTTAACTGATTTTGTGTCGTCCTTTCTGCTCTCCAAATGAATGCTACGAGGATAAATAAATAATAGAAATAAACATAAATACCGTTTCTTTTGTAAATTTATGAGTGTACTTGTTGATTGAGGTACTTAGCCTGCAAAAGCTTTTAATAACGATTTTTAACACATTCTTAGAGTACAATACCAATCTCAGCCCAGGTGAAGGGGGTCATCGGGAGTTTGGCCTCAAAGTGAAGACGGTAAGATTCATCACTCCCTCTATCGCAACTATGTTCTGGAATAGTACCGAAAAAAACAAAAACTATTCATTCATAACAAGATCATGTGAATTCCTATCAAATTCTTCATGAAAGTTCTACAAACATGTTCTTGATGTAAAGCAGAACAGTAAATCATTCGGCAAAAAAAAATCAGAAAAAAAAATAAAGGTAAAAATTAGCGATAGACAATAAAATCAGCTGATAAAACTGCTCGCAGCTAACGACGACCACTCATCGCCTCAAAACAAAATGTCACCATTAAGTGTGAAAAAAAACTGTTATACGTAATCTGTAGATTAAGAATCGAAGTACCAGCACGAATCAAGTACTAACGATGAGAACAGCCAATTCAAGAAAAAAATACTTTGATTTCGAACTTCTACAGTTTCAGTGTTTTCGAGTGAGATTCTGAGTATCGAACCGACCAGAGCACAACATTAGCATAACATCTACGTCAGTGTCCTTGAAAGGTTGCATGTCACTGAAGCTCCCGATATTGGTGAACTCTGAAATGAAGTTCGAAAAATGCGATTAGCCTCAATCGTACAGAAGAAAAAAACAGTTCATGTCAATAAGGAATACTTAACAGTATAAATTCGAGAGAGTGCCTGGTGTTCAAATGATAGATATAAGCACAAGGCAACATACCAGGCTTCGCTTGCTAGCCAACATTTCCTCATTTTCTTGACCGTTAGCTTCATCTGACGGCCTGGAAATTATAGGCCCGTAGTAAACCCCCATCAGGGCATCTCTCTTGAACCGGACCGGAGTGATCTTATCGCGTCTCAGCACACTGCCAGGGGAGCGATTGATTTGGAGCAGATCACTGAGGACATTCGCGTTTTCAAAATTGGAACGTTTCCGCCAATTGTGCATTAATAGTCAAATGGATAAGACTAATGCTAATGCATTTCAAGCGGGATTGCCGTGGTACGAGTGCGGCTAGCGACACCGTTTTTGCTACTTGGTCTGGCGATCTTTGACAGCGGCCGCTGTCGAAAAAATCGATGATAGCCGCTATCAGAGATTTTTGGCAAATAACAAGATAAAACAATTATACACTATTTTGGCAATCATGCGAGGAAAAAATACATTTAGCGAAAAATGAATGGAAAGGAAAATTTATCTTCTTGTTATCGGAAGCGATTCTTTGAGAAAAACGAGCAACAACTGCAAGAAAAATGCAAAAAAAACTTTTTTTTTCCATTTCGTCGCGCAATCAGCTATTCATCGATCCTCAATCACTTGGGCGCCCGAGATTGTGCAGTTTTGGGAGTTTTGCACCAAGTTAACTCCATCAGGCTTGTGTTCACGTACATACCAAGTCTCATACCATATCGTCATCTGCGCGTTGCATACGAACCATTTGAATTCACATCTTCATTCGCCATTTTTCTTGCAAAATTTTCGGAAAAAAATGCTTATTACTCGTTCCGTTCACATAAGTTTTTTATATAATAGTTTTTCGTACTTTGTTTCCACTAGCCTTCGCTTACGGAATTTAATGCCATATCGTTACGCATACATCGAGAACTAGTCATGTATGCTGCTACAAGTAGCATCGTTTGAGCGACGTCGCGCGTGCGGCAATTATCGATGGCGCGGTTTGACGCGCGAACTCCAATGTTCGCCTGTTGAGGCACATGACATGTTAAGATAAGCAGAGAGCATGAACTACCAATTTTTTCCGGGGCTTCGCCCCGGACCCCACAAAAGCGACTTCCCCTTTCTTTTTTTTGCCGAAAACGAATTCCAGCTTGTCATTTGACGTAGGGTGCCAGAGGAGTACGTACAGTGGATAAAGCTGATCTACCACAACGCGTCAAGCCACGTACAAACAGCTGCAGGGCAATCGAAAGAATTCCAAATTAAGGCTGGAGTAAAGGTTCAGTTCTCTCTCCTTTGCTCTTTATCACTGTGATGAACGCCGTGATGGAACCGCTCAGACGTGGACCCCCCTTGGACACTTCTCTACACAGATGATGTGGTTTTGACAGCAAGTACCAGAGGAGCTACAACACGAGGTGCAAAACTGGAAAAACAGGCTAGAGTTGCATGGCCTGAAGCTCAACACCAGGAAGACAGAATATCTGGAAGTGGGGAAGCAAACCCCAGGTACCATAAGCATCGATGGTGAAGATCTAAAGAAGACAACGTCATACAAGTACCTAGGCAGTCATATCTAGGCGGAAGGAGGCTTACAAGAGGAGGTCGCAGGCAGGATGAGCACAACATGGACGAAATGGAGAGCCTTGACAGGAGTTCTGTGCGACAGACGAATGCCAGTGCAACTTAAGTCCCAACTGTACCGAATCGTTATCCGCCCAGCAGCACTGTATGGCAGTAAATGTTGGCCGTGTACGCGAAACGAGGAGCGCAAGCTCAGTGTCTTGGAAACAGGGATGCTACGATGGACCTTAGGAGTCACACTGAAGGATCACATCTACAATGACACTATACGAGCGCGAATGAAAGTAGCTCCAATCGCCCAGAAAATGCAGGAAAAGAGGTTACGATGGGCATGTGCCAGAAGGGATGAAAATCACATTACCAAATTGGTCCTGGCTGTGGAGGCACCAAGCAAGAGGCCCAGAGGTAGACCTAAGATGAGATGGATGGACAGAATCAAGGCCGACCTGTGAGAACTTGGTATAAGCGAAGACCTTGCCTCAGATAGAATGACATGGAGACATCTGAGAAGAAAAACAGACCCTGCTTAAGCGGGACACATGCAAGGATAAAAAAATTCTCCTTGCAAGCAAACAGCTGCCAATTACCGCCGTGCACTAAAATTTAGCGCTTGTGGAGAGCACCTTTCCGTGTCTATCGTATTTTGAACTAAACTTGAAACAAGCAACCGCGTTTGAGACGTTCAATTTAGTGTATAGCATGTTTTACAAGTGCTCTTACCCAAAGATATTGAAGTTTCATGACTTATGTTAGGTCCTGGCCACTTTTTGATAGTGATTTCGGCCGACGGAGCAGGTTTGTTATGAAACGTCACCGTTTACTTCATTTTGCATCCTCAGAGCTAGTTTCGCCTTTGAGTAGCTGAAGCTCTGAGCTCAAAAACTCTCACAAAAGTTTTCACGATTTGAATTACAATAATCTACAACTCTTAGATAGCATTATAGAGTGACGGGTGCGAAAAGGCAGTGCTAAAGCTTGCAAATTGCCTTACAAACTCAGTGTTGGATGGAGTGGATCACCGAATCAACAATCATTATTGGCGAGAAAAGAGAGGCCGCTTCGAACCCTCAGCAGGAGTATAAATACTGCTGACAGAGTAGACCAGCCAGAGCGCGAAGATTACGCTTTCGAGAGTTTAAACGAACCAACGAAGAGAAGCGGATTTCTTCGTTGAATAAAAAAGTCAAAGAACCCTGCTGAGAGGGCCAAATCGGGTAGAATTCTCATTGTTGTACCCTTTGATTCAACAGGCTTGGCTCTTGGAAGGAGGGGCCTCGTGACCTAGTTGAGGAGAGAGCACGCGCGCGAGAGAGACTGCGCAGACTCGTCATGGACGCGTCGGCCCTAATTAGGTCACAAAGCCCCACCTTCCAGAAGCCAAGCCAATTGAACCAAAGGTCACATATATAAGTTGTGTTAAGAGTTCTTGTTGCTGTTAGTCCCATTAGGATAAATTCTTGTGCTCAAATCCGTGTTTTTCATCGATTGTTCTACTGAGGCATACCACTAAAACGTGCAAAGAAGTTGAATTTCTGCATTATCATAAGAGTATCGCAAATGACTATGATAAGTTTTTCAGAAACAGGGCAAAAAACGAGTGTCAAGAAGCACTTTCGATAATCGTAAAAACAGTAGAAATGCTGCGTTGCCTGAAGTTCCCTACTTGACAAGTTATCTAAATAGACGTTCTGACAACTTACCTCATTTAAATTTTACGACGCTCGTTTGTTGATCGGCTCCTATGTGAAAGACAAACGAACCAAAAAAGCACATAGTCTCTGCGAATGTCTCTAATGTCTGTTCTTGCTTACATAATTATCTATCTATTTTATCCAGAGACTCAGTCTCTTCATTTTTCCATCGATTTTTAGTAAGTCACGATGCTCTGAGTCGTTTTTGATACGTCGCTTTATAAGATGAGCTTTTTGGCTATGTGTATTCTGCTGAATCTGACTTTGTTAACCCTACAACCTGACTATGAAAGTAAAATTATTTAGTCGTTTCACAAATATGCAATACTTCTCAAAAAATTCGAATTCTCAAATCTTATAATGTCTGCTGACTTCGCTAATGTTAGATCACCTTAGCAAAAATTAGACGTCTCATAAATGTCAAAATGGCGCTTCATACGTTAATTACTCCTCTTTCTAACACTAATCCAAGTGAAGAAAGCAACATTGGCAAAGCTTTTTAGGTAGCATGACTCGCGTTATCGATCGAAACTCTTCGGTTCCATCAGAAGGAAATGGACCTGAACGTGTGCTTAGCGACAGCATACGAAACGATCATATATACCCAGTGAATAACTCAGTAATGGACGGAGATCGAGAACCACCTGCTATCCGACTGGGTTTCAAACCCATTCCGCAAAAAGGCTAGAAAAATGTCATTTTTTGCTTTCTTTTTCGAGTTTGTAACTCTAAGCATTCTACTAACTAGGGAGAGTTCCCAAGTCAACTCGGCCAATCCGGATGAGTCATATATCACCGTAACGGGCTTGAAACGCTGATTCCAAATCTGCTTTCCCTTTCTGCGGAGCGAAAGGGAAGGGAAGAAGAAGAGAAGTTATGAGCGTTTAAAAACTCAAATTTGTCATGATTTAAGTGGCTTAAAATTGGCGAAACCTGTACAATGATACATGAAAGTGATTTATCAGTTTTGTATCAAGTATATTGATTACAAGGATAGAATACAGATACAAGGATTAGAATACAGATAATGAAATTTCGTTAGGTGTTGTTTTACAGGCTTCAAGTGATTTTAAGCCACTTTGAACATGACAAATCTAGACATTTGAACGCTCATAACTTCCCTCGGAAAATCGCTCCGCAGAAAAAGGAAAGCAGATTTGGAATCTGCGTTTCAAGCCCGTTACGGAGATATATGACTCATTCGGGTTGGCCGAGCCGACTTGGGAACTTTCCCTTGTAAGAAGATCATTCTCATGAGGAGTGAATCTATTCAAATTTGGCGCTGTCGCAACAATACTTGTCGCCTTTTATGATAGCCAAAACAGCATTTCTCTCCAAAAGACTAGCGTAGCTCATTTTTGAAAATTTTAAAACTAACTTAGCTACGAAAAATTCCCTTACCGCCGCACTTTCTCAAGCGCACAACTTCGTTTTGTCTACAAAATACCACGAAGGTGAATCAGCAAAAAAATTACGAACTTTTTGTTTATGCGTTTAATGCAAGATCAAAGCCGCCTGCCAGTGATGTATGGATCACTGCTATGAAAGAAAAAAGAAAAGGAAATACGAAAAATTTTTACAGATTTTTTGCGTCGAAAAGTTTTGGATCTGAAACCGGCATTTTACATTTTTGACGAGAGTCAAAGCGCACAATTCGTAGATTTCTAAAAATTTCGTTTCAGCAGCTAGCTTGTAAGAGGTTATGCTTGTGCTTTTACCGTAAAGAAACGTTCTATTATTAGGTTGTCCGGAAATTAATGCAGGTTTCTGCAAATGCAATTTCAAAAAGATCGTTCTTCTGTGTATGTGCATCTTTCGACCAATTCCGCATACTAAAAGAAGCCGCTCTTCATGCTCTCTTTTACATGTATTATTTCTACGACCAACTTCATTTGTTCAAAATCTAAAACCATCCGAAGATGAAGCTTTAAATTACTAAATTTACCCTTTCTGTTTTAGCTTGAACTTCTTCGGCAAGAGGAGTATTTCAATGATAATATAGCTAAAGATATTGATTGAACCTACAAAACAGATAGTGGCGCTTCTTTTAAACAATTGTGAGAGTAGAGAAACTGAGGTTTTAACATGAATAATTGTAGCGGCCACTCCATGGCGTAAAAAACTTTTTTAAAAAAAGCAACCGTGAAATTCTCTCCTCGTACTTGAAGAGTGAGGCCAGTACCGTTAGATATTATCTCGACTGGTACCTCCCAGGCTTTATTTTTGGTTAGTTAATAGAAAAATCGAAATTATCGGAGATCGCAGCCGTGGAGGAAATATCGAAAAAATGGAAAATTTTAATTCCGCAAATTCTTCTTTCGCAGAAAATTTCTTAAGAAATTTCTGCATAGCCGTGTATGTAGTACTGGTCTGTGGCAATAAGCTGCAGAAGTTTCTGGCTGAACACTCATATTCGGTAAGAGTTCACAACTTGCCAAGTATGACCTTGTCAAAGAAATTTCTTTTTACTTTCTGGTTTTCAGTAATTTGCTTGTTGGAGCTACAGTTACAAAAGAAAATGGCGCAAATAGAAAAAGACTTGCTGATCACAGCAGTTTTTACCTCATTTCAAAATATTCGATTTTAAAGGAGTTATGACGCTTTGAAGTGAGAATATGCAAAACCTGCATTAATTTCCGGACAACCTAATATTTTTACAAAGTAAATGAATTTCAGGATTAGGATGGGCAAAAAAGTCAAGTTTATTGCCACGAATTCCTTAAAGGAAACTCTAGCAAGCGTCCAAGCCATCATTGCAGGAGCTGAAATACAGGGTGTCCAAAAAAATGTATCGAACACTTGGAATCGAAAAATCTTCTTGACGGTCTGTAAAGATCTCTTAGCAGTGAGCCACGCAAAAAGCAGGTTTCGATATTTAAAGGCAATTTCGATTTTTACACTTTTTTACAATTGATTACGCATTTCGATTCTTGTTCTTATTGCCTTTAAATATCGAAACCTGCTTTTTGCGTGGCTCACTGCTAAGAGATCTTTACGGACTGTCAAGAAGATTTTTCCGAACTTTCGTGCTAGCAAGATTGCCGATTCCGATACATTGCTATTGAACTTCTTGTTAACACATTGACGACCGCTTGACACACATGGTGTGTCAAGGTATGAATTTAGTAAAACGGCTATTCTGGGGCAAACTTACTTCAGGAGTTTTCCTTGGCGCTGGATCTAGAAATAACTTCCATCTAGTCTGTCAGCTTCATAGAGCTACCGTAGTTGTACTGCAGATCACATTATGCCTAATTTTATTTGAACTTGGCAGGCCTGGGTTTCAAAAGGCAGACTACTCAAAGCACAGTCGTCAATGTTTTGACCATCAGAAATTTCCCCTTTTCACCTGTACCAGCCGCGTCCTAATTGCTTCAAAAAACAATCGCTCCAGAAGAATCCATGTACCATGGGGCGCGCCAACTACGAAAGTAATAGGAAAAAGAGCCCGCCTCGAGAAGCATTCGCGCCGATTCAGAATAGGCCGGGTGGGCTTGTATACGAGATAGGCCACCTCAAAAGCTTTTCGAAACACTGCTTTTCTCATTTTTAAAACTTGGGTTGAAAGTTTTTTCGACCATAAGTTGTCGACAACTGTTGCCGGCATTGCTGGGACTGCTGGTGTGCTTGGGTACCGGCGTTACCGAACACGCAAGTGTTGCTCGGGTTTGCTGATACCTCGAGTTTCAAGCAATATTGCACCGTGTGGGGTGTATGCCCTTCTGAACCGCTTCGTCCTAGCGCTAATTACTCTGCCCGGGCGGCGCTAACTGCTCCGCCTTTCTTACAATCTATCAGAGTTTTCAAATATTTCTGAGCATTTTAAAGCAAGCAGCACACGAATAATGATAGTGACGACGTTTGAATTAATAAGACAAAAAGTTGCAGGTTTTTTCTACTAGCCTTTCGTGATTTCTTCGCCTTCCCACTTTTCAAAACACCATGAAGTCTGCACGTGTAAGTTGAAGAATTCAACTAAGCCGCCCGCGTATAACATTTCTTAGTTTCACGGGAAACTCGAAGTCTTGTTTGATTATTTTTATCATGAGAATGCCTTTGAGTTCAATTCAAACGTATTTAACGACATAGCTCTCGCCTACCCAACAGCCGCGGCAGCGCCTATCAACCAGAGGCGCGCAGTACTAATTAGGCTGCTAATGCTAGAGGTTCAAAAGGACCGTCTCCCCACCGTGTGTGATTTCATCGTGCGCACGCGATCATTCTCATGTACTTCGAGATTTCCTAGCTTTTGGCACACCATCAACACGAACCTCGGCACTCCAGCAGTAGTGGTCAGAAACCCAAGGCTGAGCTGAATTTGGTTAGATAAAACTTCGTGCTTGATTTTACCTTATAGGGGGTTGTTTCTCATTCTGTAAATGAATTCGCTAGTTCTCTATCAAAAGCTAGCTGGGATACTCGGCTTTGCTCGGGCCTTGTCGACATATAGCATGGCGAACAAATTATGACTTCCATTCACACATCATTTGCCTGTCACTGTCCCACTTCCATATGCTTCGTATTTTCTTAATCAGCATGCTCACTTACTGCCTCCCCCTGTAGCGACTCCAGCCCGATAGCTCACTTGCAAATCGATAAAAAGTGTAATGGTTCTTTCAGGTTATTTTCGCTTTCGTAATCAGTATACACATTTGCACAAAATAATGACACCGATGTGGATCGATAACCGATGGTTTATAACACTCATTTCGCCTCGAAGGGTGAAAATTTGATCCAGATAGATGAAACGATCCGGATAAAATTTGATCCGAATAGATCTGTATAGATGGAATTTTCTGGTTGGAATATACAACCATAGAGGCAGGCAGACAATCAGCTACATACATAAAATCGCCCAATTTGATTGTTTTGTAATTTGGGATTATTCTGTTTCAAACAGCACATTGAGCGGTACTGAATGACTTTGTTAGAGTGACGGATATGTTGGATTCTTCATACAGAATACTAAAGTTTTCAGACAACTTATCAGTCAATATGCTTGCTTATTGCTAATGTTTCCCAATTTAGGAAGGATAAACGAACGACTAGGAAAACGACTTTCCATAATTTATTTGGCTGTGGTGAGCATTTTTGCGCTCACAATTTCAATTTCGTTGATCGTCGCTATCGTTTCAACAGCTAAATCAAAAAGTGAAGGTAAGATATGGCGAAAAAAACAGCGGACGCGTCATATCATTTTATAGCTATGTAATAAAAGATGCATAGAAAAACAAATTAAAAACAAGAGGCTTTTTTTGTATTTCCTTCACCGTTTGATTGAAAATAACATTTCTAAACAGTTACCGTCATTCAGTATTTTTCACGACATTGTCTTCTCTACTCTTTGTGGATTGGAGGGTTGAGAATTTTAAAAAAGTTAAAACTCGAAAGAAGAATTGCTTTCAATATGCAGTAATTGCTACTGCTTGTTTTAAACTGGTTGAAGCAATAATCAAAGTTATTCTCTTTAATCAAATTTTCAAAATTCCCTCCAAAAAATCAGCCTTACGAGACCGCTATTATTCCATATATCCATATATCAAAACCAAATCTGTTTTTTGAGTGCAGACGAATCCCGCTTTTTAATTTCAAAAATGTAGGAAATGTGTTGGGTATGAGTTGAAAATATTGATCAGACTGTCTGTGAATAAAGAACAATCAAAATTCTCTAAAACGAAAAGAACTTGTTGAAAAAAGCATCAATGACTGTGAAAAGAAAATCCTCATGTGAAGAATTCGCTCTTCTGTTTATGATGTATTCTACAACAGAAATGGATAGGAAAAATTCAGTGAGACTTAAGCAATTCAAATAATGCTAAAAACATCACTTTTTCATTTCAAAAATGTCTCGGATAATTTGATCGTATCCATTGCAAATGAAAAAGTTGAAAATAGCAAAGATACAAACTGCCTCCTCAGTCATTATTGCTCTCCACACTGGGTTCTGTTGTAAATGAGAATTATCAGTAATTCTATTTGTAGCAGTTTGCACCGTTTGCAGGAGTAACTGCTATTGAGATAAACGTCAGTAGGGACCAAATACTCAGTTTAGAACCAGCACCTACGATCACTACCGCGAGCGTTGGTGGAACATCAACTACTATGTCATCGAAGAGAACGCAAACTGCCTCGATCTCTGTAACGTATTCACAATCTATTTCATCAAGCAAATCAACTCTAAGATTCTCTACAATGACGAAGACTAAGTTGGAACCAACATCAAGAAAATCTACCCGAAGAAGCTCCACAACTACAACGAATGAGCCGCAAATTTGTAAGACTTTTTGGTTGTGAGTAGTTTAGCTATAAGAATGCTAGAATCTACTGTTTTGGATCATCGCCGCTAATTGGTAAAGTTCAGAATAGCTAAAAGCACAAATCACTTTGATAAGTGACTGCAGCACACTTGTGCATACCTGCACATGATCAGCTACACTAGACATTAGAAAAGTCCGTTTAGGCCTAAGCATATACAAGGCTAAATGCTGCCATTGATCTCAAAACAGGAAACTTTTAATATCGAACAACTTACTTAATTGTGAAAATTTGCAGCAATTCACTGTATGTTTGTTGGAGACGTACTCAATTTGGGCAGGGACTCGATAGCGGTCTATCAGTACTATGAGGTGAATGGATAATTACGCACATCCTTTCTACTACCATTCCATCATTCTGATCGTACCCACTTTTTTGGAAAGCCCAATATAGGCTTGAACCATAGCCAAACAGGGACATATAGCCTTTGTCAGAAAGTTAGCATGTCGATTTTGGAATATACATGTAAATGGAGAGACAGAAATAGCTATGATTGGGGTAACAAACATCATTAGGTTCCTATTATTTGTTCCATTGATAAATAAGGACTATGACTGCTGGCCATGGGCATTATAGCTGGAAAGGTAGCTCGCGTGTAGTGGTGCGAGCATTGCGCGGAAATTGTCGCCTTAGACGAATTGTAGACCGAATGTTCCGCGAGCACTAAATAACCAAACAATTTTGACTCATTGAGTTGTTACCGCGTGGAAAGTAGCTGGAGATTCTGTAAGCTATGTAGACCGTCATGTTATGACAAAAATCGATCTAGACTCATGCTTGAAAGAACCAAAAATAAACTTGTTTTTGGCCGTGAAAATGACAGGTCGGAGAGGGTCCCTTCAACGAAAAAAATCAGTTTGTGCAGAAGTTTTTTCCGTTGTTTGCAACTACTCACATATCGGTGCAATGAAGATAAATGAATACTCTGGAAACTTTTGATGCAGAATATCTTTTATTCAGTAGTTATGTTCCAAATATGATTCTTCCATAAAATACTGAGAAAATGTCGAGACCTACTAGCATTCATTCACACTCCTCCTATGCGTCCGCTCAACTCATACACCCCTGACCCGCATAAACAAAACGACCGTAAACGCGACCAGATCAAATCACATTTACTACAAAATAAACACAGAATAAACAACTGAATACTAACTAGTATTACTAAGGAAGGAAAAAGGGCACCATATGATGCTGTCTCTAAAGGCAGTGGCCCGCGAAAATTGCGACTGCAAGCTTTCCACACCTAAATGGATGCGCCGAGCCTAGTGATGTGCTTGCAAAGTCGAAAAAAGTGCTCTTATCGGTCTTTCTACCGTAAAGTTAGCTGGAGATTAAGGGCGAGGGATTTCCGCCATAAACAACTAATGACTTCCCTTGCCCATCCCCTCCTGCTATCTCCATGGTAGGAAGTTTGTAGACAAATTGAAGGCATTGAAGGCTTGAAGAATTATAAAAAATTGCATTTCCTTCCAGAAAAATTTCAAAAACTCCCGACTTGCACACGCATCTTTACATCAAACACTCGTATGCGCAATTTCGTGATTGTTCTCCTAGATAGAAATCGGCAATACGAAAGCATATTTTCTGCCAAAGCAATTCCGAGCTTTCCCTCAGATAGGTGGTTCCGCAGCATAAGCTTTGGAAGTAAAAATGTGAAGTTTCAGTTTTCTACAGGGTTAGTTCGCGAAAAAAGGAATATTTCTACAGAAACTTCGAAAGTAGGGACATTGCTCATTTTACCTATTTTTATTTCTCGTGTTCTAATCGTGGGAAAATTTGAGAAATGTTAATGTTTGATAAAGGTACATGCCAATGCCATGCTATGTGATTGGAAATTGCTAAGACATTTATGGACGAAGATAAGATCTCTCAAGTATCTGAAATTTTTCATATTTTGCATTCGAACTCCAAGAGAAAGAAGATTTCCGCGTGATTTGTATTCTATTTTGTAGAGCTTGCTTTGCGCTATCAAATGATACCTTATTCACTGTTTGTAATCACTCTGTCGGGTACGCATTTTTCGGACAACCTAATACATATTTGTTTGTATCTTTGCCAATTTAAAACTAGTAAATGCACAACAACAATAACGCATAAATTTCAACATTCTGATACTCTCTACTTTTTTATACGCACAACCTTATTGAGTTTTTCTATCGGCTAATCTCTTTGTCAATTGTAACTGCGAATTTGAACCTGCACTATCATTGCTTTTCGCTTTCAGGCTTTCGAATTTCCTATAAACTAAATCATGAGATAAAATATAATAGCTTTGCGCAAAAGGCGTAGTAGGAGATTGATAAGGTACGAGGTCCTTTATTCCAGGAAAAGGAAATGATTTTCCAAATTGCTGAATCACTGCTAGAGTTTCACCATGATAACACTGTTGGGTTCTGGGCTTACGGTTACGTCAAGCCAACGAGCTTTCGACAGCGGTTCGAAAGTTTTACGGATAACTGGCAAAAATTCGCGGAATATACTCACGAGCTGATGAAGCTTTACAATAACTCAATATCTCCACCTGGAGGAAATGATGAGTGCGTTTTACCCTTAATTTTTACAGAATTCACCTATTTTTATTATTCAAAGTGTATTTTCGGAAATCAATGGAACCGGAGACGACGACCAAATAGCAAATTGCTTAGTCTTCCTGTCAGCCATGTGAGTATTTGAAATCATCCATTTTTTTGAAACCCATGTGCTTAAATTGAAGCTTCTTATTTTCAAAGTAGAAAGTAAATTTTGGCTTCTTTCTTATTGTCCAGTGGAATGTGGGATTAGCTTCGGTGATAGAAGAGCTTTAACCTGTAGGAAACTTTCTTGTTAGTTTCAGTTTCTCACCTAACAAAAATCTTCCTATTCACTGTATTACGACATTACGCGGTAGACTAAAAGCTGGATTTAAAAACTAGAATTTCTATGACGTTACCTTCAAACTATCATTGTTTTTTGTATAGCCCACAAAGGACAAAAATGGAAAGTCTGAGCAATTACAAATTTATCATTATCTACTGTAAACATAGATTGTTGAAGGATTTATACTTTAATCTAAGGCCAAAAGCGATTTAGTTCAATTATACCAAGAGCTCCCGTTTTTAAATGCTAACATCAGTGTGCATATTGTCATAGTGACTTATAAGTTAAGCATTAGCATGTAGCGGGTAGTAAAAGTCTCTTCTGCAGGACAAATGTAGCGGGATATACGATCAAACCAAATTACGTGCACTACAAAAGAATTGTGGTTGTCAATATGGCCGGTGAGAGGTTTATCGTCTGTGTATAATGTGGTGTTTCATGTTTTACAAGTGTGCTTCAATATTTTATCGCCCTTTTTGTCGAATCAAATTGAGCTTTTGAGGAGGAGACTTCAGCAAGATCTTAGACGATAATCGAGGAACTGTCATCCCGGTCTCGCAATCGTATATGGAAAGAAAAAATTCCGAAAGAGTATTCAAGGCAATTTTGGAAGGCTTTTGAAATCAGTTTAACCAACATTTGTACAAGGTGCTTTTTACTCACAATTACTTACTTCTAGGCAGTGCATTTATAGTAAAGCATAATGTCTAATATTATAGAAATTGAACGCCGCCGTAGCCATAAAAAATAATATCTACGCCAATATTGCCGTCCGTGAATTAAACGATTTGCTTGCGTGCTTCCTGCTTGCTCCAAAACTGCTGCCTTGTGCTGTTCGTTTCTGTCATGAGCAACTCACTTTCATGGAATAACATACACTATGGGGAACATGTTTAGCGATAGGGAAGTGATGAAGAAGACCAGAAACGTCTGTCCTTACCTCTTCAACTCGACGCTTTTTTCCTGCTAACTAATGAACTGATGCCTGAAACATGGATCACTGAGAAGCAGAATGAAACACATTAAAGGCATCGTCCACCCAAATCCTTGACCTCCATGTTTTTGCCGTTCCAGGGCCTTCTCATACTTCTGATCCCGGATATTAAGTGGAAAATCCGCGAAAACCAAGAAAAATTCCTGTTTTTAGAACCTGCGCAGCGATTTCTTTGAAACGGTGATTGGTTGGGCGCTCACGAATGTGCGGGACGAACGTCACGCCCACGCAAAGGGGAAGAGCAACGTGGCGAATCTGTCATCCGAGCGATTTTCGAAGTAGTTTTCTCGCTTCGGGAGCAACTTTTGCCAGCTGGAGTTAAATAAGTATACAGTTGGAGGCTTCACTACTGCTCGACATCAAAATTTCATCGACTCCAGATTAGGTGGACGGTGCCTCAAACATCATCGACCGCTCTGTGGACGAGGTACGGAGTTCTATTTTTCTCCATATAGCAACGATTTAAAGATTTTCCCCCTAAGCCAAGCAGAACACATAAAGTAAGCCGCACGTGACCCTTTGGTGTCAGTCGATAAACGAAATGCGTGACAAAGTGGACATCACTGATGCTAAACTCAAAAGAGACTAAGTTGCAAAGATTCGTTTTGTTGCAGCTTTAGTTCATCGGATCAAGCTCCCAAAATCAAGGAGTCAATCAAACCGCTTGGTGGCGTATACTAAGTAGGAGAGAGGAAGTAAAGAGATGGAGCAGAAATGCACTGCATTGTCTTATTGTCGTGCTGCACGTACAAGTGACATGACAGTGAGCATCCACCCCTTCCCTGTCACGGGATTGTTTATGTCTCGGGACGTTAGAACCGCTTTCAAGTTTCGCGGGAATTGAAAACCTCCTCGTTAGCCTTTGACGTCCAGTGCTATTCACTTTGCTACATTTCCCATTTATTGGCTGCGTTGAAGTGTCATGTGCGACTTACCTTACCTGCTCTTGGCATAAGATGAGCTTCTTTAGACTATGATCATGAAGCAGAGTGGAACTCCGTACTTCCTCAATAGCGCACTCGATGGCGCTAATATGTGTTCATCTCGCTTTCCAATGGTTCATGTCTAAAGCATAAGCCAGAATAGAAAGAACGAGTCGAGTTGAAGATATGGAGGCGGATGTTCTTGGCCTTCTTCGTTACGTTCACATTAGTTTGCTCCCCATAGTGTATGTTATTTTCCGCTCAACACAGTTAAATCGTTCCTAATGATGATTTTTCGGCCTATACAGATGTAGCCTGAGCCTGTAATGTCCGTTTCATTGAGCATGAAAGGAGCATCGAGCAGGCTTTCATTTTACGTAGTCATCGTCTTTGTTGGAAACCAACCTTAGTTAGTAGAAATCGTTCTCCATAGTCTCCAACGTTCGTTCCGCACTGCTTTATGCTTGTTGTCAAAAATATCAAGAATGTATCCGGTCAAAAATAGTAGCGATTTTCATTCCTCATCCACAGCATCCAACTAGACACGCCTAAAACGTAAGGATACTATTCTATAGAGCGAAGCAAGCTCTACAAGCTGGCAATCATGCCTCTACGGGCATAATCCAAATGTAATCCGCGGAAATTCGAATTCAAAATCTAAAAAGTTCCATATGCCCGAAAAATTGAAATGATACGGGGCCGCACAGATTGCTGCGTCCTTTCGTAAAGGTGAAGAGGAGAATGTAGAATGTAAAATCAGAAGAATTTGTAGAATCAGAACAAATATGAGCATACCAAAGAAAAACAATCGCCAAAATTTGATTGAGAAGAGTAAGTTGAAACCTATGAACTTCCTGGGTTAAAATCACGGTGTTTTGACGCAATCGCAACTGTCTCTTTTACGAAACGATGAAGCGATTTGTGCGTCCGTTGCGATCAGTGCACTCAGCTGCAGACTGCTGCAGTCTGCTTCGGTCAGTGCAGTCAGCTGCAGTCTGACTGCAGCCAGTGCTGCAGTATGAAACAACCCTCAGGCTGTACCCGAGAAATGCGATTACTGATATTTCGAAGCGGTGAACGCTTATTGCTTTCCAAAACCAGTGATAAATCACGATAAACTTTTAACTCCGATTTTCAGAGATTTATTATTGTTTAAAGCATTTGTGTGTTTTACGACATCGAAGCGCTAAGTGTACTTCAGTTTATTCAAGATAGCGTTTTACCGGCTTACTATTTTCGTTTCACTTAAAAGCTTCTCTCATTACATCATCATCTGTAACGATCCAACAAACATAAACGGTGCGTTATTCCATTTTGTAGCATGGTGGGATAATATTACGACCAACATCAGTCAAAAACAATTACGTATTTTGCTTGCCGCGAGCTTCTGCCACCTTGCTGCCAGATTTTCATATCATTTTTCTCAGAAAACAGTTGGCCTGATCTTGTTTGACTAATCAGCGCCAAAAATCTTTCTCATAATCAGCACAAACATTGTATGTGGTTGAAAGAAAACGGACGACGGTATTTTGGTGAGCCGAATCCGATGAATACTTTGAATAATACTGCCAGTTGCAATTTTTCCGAGCGGTAATTGGTACAACGGCAATGAAGCTATTCCATCGTCTCCTGACCATCTCAATTAGGAAGACAGTCCGACAAGGCGACACTATCTCGCCGAAGCTTTTCACCGCGTCCTTGTAGCGGATGATGAACCCGCTGAACTGGGACGAGAGGCAGTTAAGGGAGATTCTGTCGAACCTCTGTTTTGCAGACAACATCGTTCTTTTTACGTTCTTATCAGCAAAGCGGAGACGACGCTGGAGGAACTCAACTAATTGTAAGTAGGAAGGAAGATCGGATTGCGAATAAATTGGAAGAAAACTTCATGAGAAACGCTTTCGAGCGATGCATAAATGGTATTGAAAGGCACCCACTTTATGGAGAGGTCTTCTTACGCGTTTCTGGTTCGAAGGAAAAACGACAAGCACAGTCGTCGTATTTTGCGCCAGATGTTCCTATAATGTGTCAGAGTGTCTTGGGTACTAATACAAAATGACGTCATTCCAAAGCGCTTACTGGTAAAGAAGCTTTTTTTAATGTTATCATGCGAGAATACTTCCGCAGTCCCTTCGAAAGCGCTACTCACCTGATCAAAAAGCCTGATAATGTTGCTGCAATGTTTATAATTTATACTCTTCTCTACATACTCTTCTTACCTCCCGCTAATTACATTTACTATCTCTTGAAGTATCAATCTATGCTCTCAGTTTCTGTGAGGTAAAGCTAGTATTGCTGTTGCTCTTTTTTTTCTTAATGGTGCAACTGTTGGTAAGCAAATCTCTTATACATCGTCATCAAACTACATGTTTGAAAAAAATCATATCCAGATGTCAACAGGAAATAATAGCACGCATTCAGGCTCCTTTAGTCAAAGATCATCTACTTCTTGTTTCTTGTATGAGTTGCGGCTTTTGAAGCACCACCCATGTAATAGTGCTAAGCATATTGCCGATGAGAACAATTGAGTTTTTCAATATCGAAATGAGCGATAAACCCCCAACTTTTGACCTATGATCCATCGAAAACTTCATGACTCCAGAACTTCATTTGTTCTTATACATGCTTAGCACTGCCGGTTTAGATAAGCAATACAACTTGGAATATTTTTCGTCAACTTTGAAAAAAAGAAAAATGAATCTAAAGAAAAGACAGTCGCCCGCAGGGGAATATTAGGGGATCGTAAAAAACTAGAAAATGCGGCTTGTACAGCTTCTCACTCCTGTATAAAGTGAAGTATGGTGGGAATACTTACTGATAGGTAGATAGCGTGAAATACGGATACCTGAAGCTTCAGAATTTGAAATCTTCTTTTAAATTGCAATTCCCCGCGGCGGGGATGTTAGTGCATGTTGCCCATAGATACTTATTGTTAGATGGTTTGGCTTCACGTGACGTGCGGGCCCTAGCACAGAAATTTCCATTTCTTGCTGTCCCTCGCTTCAGACATCCGCGATCTTCTTGGCTGCCGACGGTGGCTTCTTTAACGAATCTAGGGATGAGCTCTACCTTTTTTATCAGCTTTTCAGATTTACTGTAGGTGTACTGTAGATGACAGTATGCGTAATTATAGTCGAAAAATGTGGGCTGGTTCGTAAAAGGCCTTGGTCCCAGATGGCAGGAATCTGCATGGTCGTCAATGTGTTAATGCATGCGGCCCTGGAACTTCCGGCAGGATGCTCCTATTGGGCCGTGTGGGTAGGCTCCGCCCCACCTGGCCTGTCCTGCCTGGCAGCTCTAATAGGAGTGTCTCCCAGGAAGATTCAGAACTTCAGTTTTCCTCCAAAGTCAGTTGCGATTGTCTGAGTGATAGATGTTTCTATTACTACTAGTGTACTGTCAAATGTAATTCAGAGACAGTTTTCCCAAAGAAGTTATGATCTTGATTCCAAATGTTCCAATAAGTATACTATCATTGTGGCAGCAAAACCACCTTCCTCCATATTTTATCTGAAGTTAAGCAATCGAATTATTATAGAATTTCGCATGCGTATAGCGGGAGTGGCTCTGCAGACATTTGAACACGCTAAAAAACTTGTTGAACCTCTATTTTAAC